CTCTCATTGCAATGCAAATATCAAGCTTCTAAGCAGGGAGTGGAGTGTCAGCGTCTTATTTATTTATTTATGATTCAAGCAGACAGCTCCTTAAAACTGTTGACCTTATAGGAGAGAGAAGTATTAGGTATGGAGAGGATTACAACAGTGGAAGCAAACACTTGCCCTTGTGAATTCTTATGAACTATATTTAGAATCTAAATCCAAGCATAATTAAACAGTGCTAATGAGACAGAGGGGCTTATCTTCATTTGGCGTGTAATTGGTATCAGTGATTTCTTCATTCATTTTTTCCTAGTTTTAAAGCCTTCTTGTTCCAGTGAGATCTGATGATAAAAGTTACCCTGCAGAGAGAAAGTACCTGGCCTGGAGCTGAAATTCAGCTGGAAGCCTTTTAAGGGATGCAGCTTTCTTGATAGCATGGATAGCTGACAGCAAAACCACTGGCAAATGTGTAGCCAACAGTCAAGCAAGTAGCGTACCCCTGAAAAAAGGCCAGTTTACGCAGTGTTACAAGGACAATAATGGGGAGGAAAAGATCACTGGATGAGTTTTAATAGTGGTGGGTATATAATCTACCACTCTCAATTGAGATTTGAATCCCTTCTCAAAATATGCTCCAGCTCCCCCAGAAGCATGACCCTTGCACAGGAACTCTTGGTGACGGTCGGTGGCTGGCACAGTGCAGCAGGTCGGAGCGGGAGATTGTACCAATCTCTCCTGGCCTTGGTTCCTCTCAGGCTATGACCAGAGCAGCAGCCTCTGTTACAGCTCCACTCCAGTAACCGATTTTATTGCTGATCAAAGGACAACAGCTCCCTTTGGCAGCAGGGATCAGACATGTTTTTTGGCCTAGCCAAACCCAGCAGAGAAGTGATGCAATAGGCAAAGTTTAGTTTATTAAAGTCCAACTTTGCTTTTCAGTTGTGTCTTTGCTTGGCTTTAGGCTCCTTTCTATGGTGTTCTACGACCTCAAATGGATACAAATTTTCGGAAGGCTGAATCCACATCTGTTGCTTCCAACTACAATAAAATCAACTCTTTCCTATGAGATGGCACAATAATGACTATGTCTTTGTGTATTTTGGTACCACCATGCATGCCAGGGTGCTTGTGCTTACCTGCTGACAAGGGTGCTCAGAAACATCATTCATTTAACGCTCTGCAATGCTTCCCATCCTAGCGGGAGCGCTACAGCCAGCTGGGATCTATTGTCTGCTTGTGGAACTGTCTAACTGCTTGTGGAATACAGGTTCTCCAAACCCTCCTCCCTCCTAAATGACCACCGCTAACTAAATGCCCATCCACCAAATGAGCCAAGCCAGTTCAAAGAGGAGCACTGTAGAGGCTGTGAGCTGCTCTGTTGGATATGAAGAGGGTAGAGTGACGTGAATCCCAGAAAACAGCAAATGTTTTTCATTTTGCTCCAGTAATTCAGCACAGATTTATTCTCTTGGTTACTGAACCCAAGACTTTGTTCTGCCCTTACTGAAAGGGGTTTTGAACGCTTTCCTGCGAAGACTGTTTTGCAGATTAGTCTGAGATATAGGAAATATTTCCAAGCACTTGGTCTAAATTTTCCTGGTTCACTGGGCCACTCTGGCCATGTCACCCACAGGAAATGCCCCTACTTCTTTTTAAGGCTGTTTCCTTTGACTACTTGGGGCTCTGTTGCTGCTCTAGGAGATGAGACTTGCAGATGTCCTTCCCCTTTGTTGCTGTCTAGCTGAGCCCACTGGCTGCTCATTCTTAGTCAGTAATACAGGATGTAACTTTCTAGGGGAGCTGATCTTTTTAGAAGCTGTTTCTCCCCAAAAGAAACATCTTCATCTATTTTTAAGTGCCGCAGAATGGCATATCTGCCCATGTAACTTCCTCTTTTATTTCCTGCCGAAGGTAGGTAAATAATCACCAGCTCTGCCTCGCTGGCAGCCATGTAGCCTGGAAAGACGCCCCGTGCACAGTGCTTTGAGACTGCTGCAGAAGGGAGGCTAAGGACGTTATTTATTATTTGCCTAATCAATCTAAATATTCTCTTTCAGAAAGCACATGCCTAGTGTTTATAAAGCAGTATGTACAGGGCTCTTGAAATGCCCTTCCCTAGTGAAGCGCACCTGCTATTTGAAAAGCGGACATCCCCATTGCTCAGGATGTGGGGCCAGGAGCAAAGACCCTCTTGCAACAGCACTACGCTCGTGAGCTGCTCTCAGCATCACAACCAGTTGTTGACACTGCTGAAATTTAGCCCTGTGTGAGATGATCGCGGCTGTCTATTACTCTTAAGCCCCTTGGAGCCTTCTCTCGGAGCAGAGCGTGGCACCTCTCCCCCGAGAGGCAGCAGGTATGCAGGACTGGGCTGCTTGTTGCTGCCCATCCTCTCCTCAGCTGCTCTGCACCTTTGCAGCACTGGCATTTGGTGTCCTGAGCATTGGGCACGGAGCAATGTCCATGGTAGCTCTCTCTCACAGCTGGCTTCAGCACAGGGAGCTGTGATCAGGCCATCCTCTTCCCCCCGCTGAAGCCTGCAGAGCGCTGGGGTGTAGCGAACGGCACGGATGCGGGGCGGGACCAGGGTGTGCAGAGGGCGGTTGGCAGGGACATGGGCAACAGCTTCTGTTCCTCTCTTGGAAGGTGCCTGCTTGGTCCCAGAAAAGGTAATCGAGAAAGCAGTGGCATTTCATGGTGCAGAGGAGTCAACCCTCAGCGAGAGGTGGCTGTGGAAGGGACCACGCTGCTCTGCCAAGTGCCTGAACACAGCGCCAAGTGCCGTGATTGATAAAGAGAGGCCACCTGGCTACCGTGCTCTCCAGCAGGTCCCTTCCTGCTTCTCTCTTCCCATACACCACAGAAAAAGTCATTCTGGTCTTCTGGCGAGCCTGTGCCAGCCTTTCTAAATAATACTGTGATGACACGGGCTTCCTCTGGGTGAGTGAGGAGAAGGGAGAAAATGGGGTGGGAGATGCTGTACTGTACAAGAATTTGAGATGCTCTCAGGCCTTATGCTAAAATATTACCTCTGTAGCGCAGGACACAGTGGCAGCCACTGGTCTGGGACAGAAACTTGTAGGCTTGACATGTTAAGTGTTGCAAGGGCAGGCTTCAAGTGTGAGGTAGGTTTAAGTGCTCCCAAAAGAGGACCTAATCCCTTAAAAAAAACCCTGAAATTACAGGTTAGGAGAATATTTTATTCCTCATTGTATGAGGATGAGCACAGAACTGCCAAGTGAATCTTGACAGTCAACTTTAGGCTTAAAACACCCCCAGAGGCAGGCACCTACTTCTCACTAAAGCCCAAAAGTCTTCCTCTCCAATATGACAGGGAGCAGCTCATGCTCAGTGCTGCTCTTGGAGGGGACCCGTGGGGCTGGGTGCTCCGTGGCTGGCAGCACCCTCACCCTGGGAAACAGCAGGGGCAGAGCAGGGGTGCTCCCGGGCAGAGCTACTGGAGCACCTCAGAGGTGACAGGGAAGTCCCCTTGAGGGAGGTGCCTGCTTTCTTTGGCGTGGAGGGGCTGCATTTCTACATGAGCAGAGGGAATTATGTGAGCAGACAGTCGCAAGTCTTGGGGCTTTAAGGGAGAATGTGGCCTGCATGGATTGAACCTGGAGCATTATTTGGGAGGGAGGGTATTTTTACTTTCCAAAGTCTTTTTTTCCAGGAAAAAATGCCCTGGACAGAGTGAAGAAAGGGGGTAGGGGGAAAAAAAAGGTGAAAATAATTTAAGGGTGTTTGTAGGCTGAAGCAAGGACTTCTGCTTGAAGGCAAGAGGCTCTGGAGGAAACTACACTTGCACTGAACTCGAGCACTGTGATTCTGCCAGGTAAGGATACATTCCCACACCTCCAGGTGAGTGATGTATGGAAGTGTGCAAGGAGCATTTAAAAACTATACGTGGTTCAATTCTTCAGAGTTATAGATACATCACCAAAATTCCTTAAAATCTTCCTACTTCTTTATGGCATGTAATTTTAGGCCAAAAACTTCAGAATTTATAGAAGCGCAGTGTAATCCAGAAGAATGTATTTTTGCTACTTGTTTGTAGCTAGGAATGAAAACGGACAAGGAACACTTTAGGAACAGTAAGTTCCTTTTCATTATTAAAAAATTAGTGCCCAAAGAGTGTGTAGTTTTTTTCCTCCCTCTGAATAGGTGTTACTGGTAAGATGGATAAGAAATCTGTTTCAAATAAAAATATAACCTTTAAACAAAAGGTAATTGTTTGATAAATTCAGCCATTTCCAGTGCCCAGCATGTCATTTGGCAATACACAGGCTTCCAGTTGGTTTCTATTTTCTTAGCAGTTGCAGTTGCTCTCTAAAAAGATTTTATTCAAGTACTGTTTTTACGTACAAAAACATCTTTTTAATGTCAGACTTCTGAGCCCTATAAAGCAATGTCACTGCCTGAGACCACCGTTTGTTCTGTTCCCTGTTTCATTTGAACACAAACCCACCTGAGGATATAAAGAGTGTTGCGAAATAACTTCTCATATCTTTTCATACAATTCTAGCTTATAGCATCATTTAAGTCAATTAAAAGTTAATTAAACTTGACTGGTGCCCAGTAACTGTTAAAACTGAGCTGCTGTTTATAAAAATGTCAACCTTTTGTTTCTGAGTTCTAACTTTTCTTAAATGTCCTATTCCTCTAAGTTCATCTCGTTTCCCAGATCCTTCCTTTAAACTACGTAAGCATTGCCTGATGCTGTGTACCAATCCATGTTGTTGCACATCTCAAAGCCCATACAGCGGCTGCTGAGAAATTCTTGGATGGGAGGTTTAGTTTGTTTTTAAAGAAGACTATTTTGCAAATGTTAAAAATGGAATTTCTGTGGAAATTCCATTTCAAGGAATCGTGTGATTCGCAGGGCAGACTCTTCTCATGGCATTCAAAAGAAATGTGATCTGGCTCTTCGTCTGAACCATCTCTGTATTTTTAGGATCATGCTTATGAAATCAGCTTGAAGACTAAGGGAGAGATGGTAGCAAGAGACTGTCAAATCTCAGCTACTGAACTGTCTGTACGCTCACACTGGTGTGGAGCAAATGGAAGATACCTTTCTAATACCAGGTGAGAATGTAAGTGGTGGTTTAAGACGCTCAATTATTTGTGGCTAAATGAAGTGGTGGTTTAAGACGTTCAATTATTTGTGGCTAAATGTTAACTTAGGAGCAAGAACACTGAAATGAGCCATTTGTTTCATGAAAGGTGTCAGCAGAGAAGGCTGGTGGATAAAAGGACTAGGAGGCGACGTCTTCAGGGAGCAGGACCTGGGCTGTGCTGCGGCGACTTTTCCGCACATCTGGGAGTCCAGACGAGTCGGCCCTCAGTGACTCTGCTACATTCACCACTGCTGGATAAACGTAAAGCTCTTAAGGTCTGCATTGCTGTTGCTAATGATACTACTGGGGGATGGGCCCTTTGAGTGAAATGCCGATTTATGTTTCACTGTAGGATTTGCTTACATAACTAGTGAACCTGTATCAACTGTAGCCTTTGCAGCCTGAGTTCACCACTTGGGTTTTGTAGCTTCTCTTGGGGTTGAATAGCTAAGCTGCAAGTTCCATGAGCAAAGTACTTGCACTTGCTTGCAAAGAGTAAGCAGGCCTCTGATAAGAGACCTGATATTAAAATGGTTTGCTTTATTGGCAGAAGTGGCTTTCACTGTTTCCACGGGTTGCCCAAGGTGAGTCTGACCTCTGTGGTCTCTCTGAAGCTCTCTCCTGTGGGTGAGCTGAGCAATGTTGGCATGCAGCTTTTAAGAAGGATTAACTGTGAAACTAGCCGGCACAGGAAATTCTTCTGAGAAAGTAAGAATATTACATTGCGCAACTAAGGAAGAAACACAGCTTCTAAGCCTATAGGATAAAAGTTCCAAGGTTGAGAATGTGATTATTTGGTAGAGCTGTACTCGGCTTGTCTGTAATCATGTTTGCAAGCCCACTCTTAGGGCAAAATTCTGCCTTCACAGATGCAAGAACGGCCAACGGAGAGGCAGGTGTGTGGCCAATGAACAGGTAAGTGACCTCAGCTTCCTGCTG